GGCTGCGCTGAGGCGGGCTGAACTGAATGATTGGATTGGCCAACAGCAACAAGCAAGTTCTATTTATTTCTTTCTTTAGGGTTCAGGGTTTAGGGCTTAGGGTTTAGGGTTTAGGGCTTAGGGTTTAGGGTTTAGGGCTTAGGGTTTAGGGTTCAGGGCTCAGGGGGTCTAGCCTCATGCACCAGCTCGACCACAGGCGGCCCGTCAGCTGATAGTATGCTGAACCAATGAAGCCCAAGCCGTGGAAGATCGACTTGATGTCCATCTCCTTCACAAGTTGCCTTGGCTTTAGGGTTTAGGGTTGAGGGATTAGGACTATATACTATTAGGGTTAATGGGATTAGGCTTAGGGTCCCTCCTAGGGTTACTGGATTTAGGGCTTAAGGGGTTTAGGGTTCGGGACCTCCCTCTTCTGAGCATGCCTTGATGTGCTACTCTACGGTTACCTAAGCTCCAAAACCCTAAACCCTAAACCTTAAACCCTAAACCCTAAACCCTAAACCTTAAACCCTAAACCCTTAAACCCTAAACCCTAAACCCTAATCCTGACAAGCTGTGATGCATGGCCACTGGCATCATCTTGATCAACTCGTACAGGGAGGATGCCGGAACACTGCCAACAAAGACTGCCCCAGCAAAACGCTCCGCCAGACCAGCATCTCTGACCAGATATTGAGACAAGATCCTGGGCTCTAGGGTTTAGGGTTTAGGGTTTAGGGTTTAGGGTTCGAGCTATTGAGACAAGATCCTGGGCTCTGCGCAGAAACTCAAGCTGGGAAACCATAGTAAGAGAAGTAGAGTATGTGCTGTCGGACTAAACCCTAAAGCCTAAACCCTCAACCCTCAACCTTGAAGTCTAAACCCCTAAACCCTCCACCCTAAACCCTAAACCCTAAACTCAAACGCTAACCCTAAACCCTAAACCCTAAACCCTCAACCCTAAAGCCTAAATAAAGCCCTAAACCCCTGAAGCCTCAACCCTAAAACCATAAACCCCCTAAACCCTGAACCCTAAAGCCTCAACTCTCACCCCTAAAGCCAAAAGCCCTAAAGCCCCAAACCCCAAACCCCAAACTACCTCGAGCTCCTGAAGAAGCGCCCAGGATCCCCCCCTGGCTGTGTCCGATGACCACCAAGTGGCTCTCACCATGCAACTTGCCTAGGTCTAGGGTTTGGGGTTTCGGGTTTTGGGTTCAGGGTTTAGGGTTGAGGGTTTGGGGTTTAGGGTTCTGGGTTCAGGGTTTAGGGTTCAGGGTTTAGGGTTTAGAGTTTAGAGTCAGGGTTTGGGGTTCAGGGTTTAGGGCTCAGGGTTTAGGGTTCAGGGTTTAGGGTTCAGGTTTTAGGGTTCAGGGTTCAGGGTTTAGGGTTGGCCCTCGAAAGGATTTGAAAATACTCGTGAACAAGATCCTCTTAGGCCCAAGGGAAAAAATGAATTGTCCCAAAGGGGTCCCAAACCCTAAACCCTAAACCCTAAACCCTAAACCCTAAACCCTAAACCGTTACCAAGCTGCCCATTTCTGTCATGGTACCCTCGATGTCAAGTAGGTGGCTGCTGATGCCCTGGCAGCGACCCGACCGCAGGTGCAGTGCATAGGAGCCAAATCCTGCAGCCGCGAGCACGTCCTCGCACAGCGGTTTAGGGTTTAGGGTTTAGAGTTTAGGGGTTAGGGTTTAGAGATTAGGGGTTAGGGGTTTAGGGTTTGGGTTTAGGGTTTAGGGCCATGTGAGTTCTGGCTTTGGGAATTTGGGGCTCCTGGAGTTCTACAGATGCGCTCCCCACAATGAAAATGCGGATGCTGGCTGCTTCTGACCCTAAACCCGAAACCCTAAACCCTAAACCCTAAACCCTAAACCCTAAACCCTAAACCCCTAAACCGTGTGTCCTGAAGCCGCCTCCAAAACCAGCTGCCATGCCACATCCCATGAATCAGGAGCACCCGGATGGGCTTGCCATCAGCTTTGCAGGACACCGGCAGGACACCGGGAGCACAGGGCATGTAGTTGTAGTGGAGCCGGCCAGGAACACCGTTCTTGCAGAGCTTCATGGAACCCGCCTTGGAGCAGTAGATCCGTTAAAGCGTACTATGCAGGGTTCTAGAATAGGGTCCCCTCTAAAGGGTATTATATTCATTATGGGGCTCTATAACAGGGTCCCCTTTAAGGGCCTCGGAGCAGCAGGAGCAATCGCCTTCATGGAGATCTCTGGGATGCTGTCGCGGCGCCAGCACGCGCATGCACACAGAGGAGAGGGCGACGACCGAGAGCGAGCCACCCAGAAGGACCAGCGCGTCCGTCTTCTTCGCAGCCTGCGAGATCTCGTGGAGGAAACCCATGGTCTGGCACAGGGTTTAGGGTTTAGGGTTTAGGGATTAAGGGTTTAGGAGTTTAGGGTTTAGGGTTTAGGGTTTAGGGGTTAAGGGTTTAGGAGTTTAGGGTTTAGAGTTTAGGGGTTTAGCGAACCTCAAACCCTAAACCCTAAACCCTAAACCCTAAACTCCTATGCGGACAGACTGGGCATGCAGAAAGGAGTCCAAGCGCTTACACCCCGAATGTACTCGACGATCTCTAACAAACGCCTCAAGACTTTGCTGTTTCAGGTCGGGAGTTGGGGGCTAAACCGTAAATTAGGGGTTCGGGTTTAGGGTTCAGGGCTTAGGGCTTAGGGTTTAGGGCTTAGGGTTTCGGGTTTAGGGTAGTAAAACCCTGAACCCTAGACCCTAGGCCCTAATCCTAAACTCTACACCCCCAATCCCTATTCACTCCCATGTCCCAACCTCGAATGCGTCGCACGGCTTGAGGGGCTCTGGGCCAGAAGCTTTACAGACAGATGCGACATGCGTTCGGGTTTCGGTCGAAATTTAGCTGGTGGGGTGGTTTTAGGATTTAGAGCGTAGGGTTTAGGGTATCTTCACGACACCCCCACAAGATGTTCGGGTTGAAGATTTGGGTAGTTCTCTATATTAGGGTCCCTTTTAGGGCCCTTTTTACAATGGTGTCGTACTATATTGGGGACCTAACAGGAACCCTCATTTAGAGAACGACCCATGTAGGGTTTAGGGTTTAGCTCTTATGGTTTAGAATTGGGTTTCAGTTTCAAGGCTTTCCATGGTTTAAGGTTTTTGGTTCAGGGTTTAGGGTCTAGGGTTTAAGGTTTAGGGTTCAGGGTTTGAGCTGAGCGTTTAGGGATGCAGGGATGTAGGTTAAAGGTTTCGGGTTGAAGATTGCAGGTTTCGGCTTTCGGGCTTAGGTGGTTTATGGATTCGTCGTGGGTAGTCGCGCGGGTAGTCGAACCCTCAACCCTAAACCCTACACCCTGAAACCTAGAACCTAAACCCTACACCCTAAACCCTACACCCTAAACCCTAAACCCTAAACCCTAAACCCTAAACCCTACACTCTAAACCCTAAACCCTAAACCGGTGGGTGGTCTGGGAGCTAGGATTAGGGGGACCCTTGGGGATATAGACCCTCTCAATAAGGTCCCTTTTAAGAGAGCCAAAAGTAGGGTTCAGAAGGGGTACCCTTCAAGGGGTACCCCTAATAATACTACCTATGGTCGTGGGTGGTCGTCTGGAAGTGAGGGTTCAGAGCTTGGCATTTGTGGTTCACGGCTTCAGCCCTGGCTCCAAAGCTTGTTTAGGCTTTGGGGTTTAGGGTATAGGGTTTAGGGTGTAGGGTTTAGGGTTTAGGGTTTAGGGTTTGGGGTGTAGGGTGTAGGGTTTAGGGTTGAGGCTATTAGGGTTTAGGGTTGAGGCTATTAGGGTTTAGGGTTTGGGGTTTGGGGTTTGGGGTTTAGGGTGTAGGGTTTAGGGTTTAGGGTTGAGGCTATTAGGGTATTAGGGTATTAGGGTACTAGGGTATTAGGGTATTAGGGTATTAGGGTATTAGGGTATTAGGGTTTTAGGGTATTAGGGTATTAGGGTTTAGGGTTGGCTTTTCGGTTCAAAGACGATAGGCGCCTGTCGGCAGAAGGCCGGCGATCTGCCTCACTCTCGTGGATTTGCCACGAGCAAAACCGTGCCGTGAGTCGATGCGATGCCCTGAGCAGAAGAATCCCGAATCCCCTTCTTCCGGCTAGAGCGGCTTCAACCCTAAACCCTAAACCCTAAACCCTAAACCCTAAACCCTAAACCCTAAACCCCCTCCGAAGTAAGGGACTGGTTTCCATCTTTGCCCGTCGGGCCGGAGTTGACTCGAGGCTTCTGCCAGCAAGGCCCGCACCGCTGCACATCTTTACAAGGGAGGCCTCGCACGCTATGCAAAACTACAGGCGGGGAGTTTAGGGTTTAGGGTCTAGGGTTTAGGGTTTAGAGTTTAGGGCTTAGGGTTTAGGGTATATAGGGCTTCTATAAGGCTTCTATAAGGTATAGAGACACTCTTTTTGGCTCCTATAACGGTAACTACCCACCTGAAAATGTCCTAGACTCTGTGGCCAAACGAAGCACAGGCGTCACCAATCTGCGATGAGCGGAGCACAAGCGTTTGCTGTTTTCCAGAAACTCCCATCTTGGCTGCACAGAGATCTTGAATAAGAACAGGGTCTTGGTTGGGCAAATAAGACCAACATGAGAACAGGGCACTGATGACTATACAATAGCGTGAACCCGTCGCATAATTTCACGTCGGATGCACAGTTATGTGGCCTTGTCGAAGGTAACTCAACATGAGGATCGGAGCATAGCGCACCAATGCAGCAGCTAGGAATGATCAGAACAGCAGTGTTCAAGCTAGGGCTGACGACTGAGTGTCTTGGAAGCCAAATTCAGGGCGACCCACACAAAATATGTCCCACGCATGTACCACACAGGCAGAGACAGGGTACATAAACACACTTATTTACTTACGCTTATACTGAAGCTTGTAATCAAGCGCAGTTTATGTGCTTAGCACTATGCATATACTGACTCTTATGTGACATAGTTGCTTGCCGCGGCCATGGAGTAAATGGCATACCATTACGCTAGGAACCTGTGTCAGCCAGAGTTCGGCGGGAGTTTCACATCGAATTATCCGGGATCTCCTTTATAGAGAAGCCTAAATCGTAAGGAATACCATTCCTTAATTTTATACCCTAAACCCTAAACTCTAAACCCTAAACCCAATCCTATGCTTACTGTTAAAGCCCCTTTCCTAAGGATCCCAGCATGCAATCTGTTCGCCCGTGACGGCGGCACCAAGAAAGAGGTTGGTCCCGTTGACAACAATGACCTCAGGCAGAAAAACCCGCTCTTGAGCTGCAACCGGGTGTAGGGCTTATGGTTTAGGGCTTAGGGTTTAGGGTTTAGGGTTTAGGGCTTAGGGTTTAGGGTTTAGGGTTTTTTTGAGCACCTTCTTCCGCCTTGCTAATCTGAGGTCAGCAGAATCCACATTGTGGAAGGGTTAAGGGTTTAGGGTTTAGGGCTTATGAAGCACATGGGCTTAGGGTTTAGAGTAATCCTCTGGGTCTGCGTTAAAGGTTTAGGGTTTACGGTTCAGGGCTCAGGGTTGAGGGTTCAGGGTTTAGGGTTTAGAGTAAACAGGTACAGCCCTACGAGGCTGAACCGTATTGTTGACAGAACCCTTTCTGGCGATGTCTCAAATGCTGGTGCTCCACAGAATAGTAAAATCTGATGACCCAGGCCCCTTAACCCAGAGAACCCAATACACCTTAATCAAGGAATATAGCTTAAACTATAGGGGCCTTCATATTATGGTTTTTGGTATATTCCTTAATTAAGGGGTATTGGGCTCTCTGGGAACTTACTTCCAACCCAGCGAGATGACCCCTCCGAAGACACGAGCAGCTGCTCCACCAAGCGGCCGCAAGCAAGCTCAGAAGTGCCCCTGCGCTGTGTTTCCTGGGCTGCTCTTTATTACCTTGCTAAAATTATAACTTTTAGTACCCCGAATACCAAAAAAGGCTAATCCTAAAAGTCATAAAGCTATAAAGTGACTGTAAAGCTCAACCAAGTTTCAGGCTCTTAGGCACTGAAGGTGCATCACCGATGTATCTATAGGCCATGGTGATGAGGTAGCCTCGCAGACGAACAGCAAAGCGCAGTGTGAGGGCATGCTGATCTGTGCAACCATCACAGAAGCTCGGGTGCAACATCCTGGGATACCTTGAACCCCCGTGTCTCCACTTCGCAAAAGACTGCCACGAATTCTGGCTCCTGCACCATAAAGACACTAAGGCGCAAGTCTGAGCTCCTGACGAAGCCAGCACTGACATTGCTTAATTACATCTGAACCCTCAAACTCCAAACCCTAAACCCTGCCCTACACCCTAAACCCTAAACCGGAGTCGCAACAGCCTGATCTCTCACATTTCAGAACCCCCTCGACCCGAAACCGTCACACGCCTTCGAGGCCGCCGGAGACTGAGAGGGAGGCGATGTACAGGACGCCACCCGCCTGCTAGAAGGCTTATAGGGTTTAGGGTTTAGGGTTTAGCGTTTAGGGTTTAGGGTTTAGGGCTAGAAGATACCCCAATACCCACCCGTAAACCTAAAACCCCAAACCTAAACCCAATACAGAGGCCCTCATAATT